AGAGGCTAAAAAAGAAAAATCATATCATATCAATTGAGGCAGAAAAGGCATCTGACAAAATCCAATAGAAGGGGGCTTCCTCAACTAGCGAAAGGACATTTACAAAATACCCATAGCTAACATCATACTTAATGGTGAGAAACTAGATGCTCTTCCCAAAGATGTGAAATAAGAAAAGGATGCTCTCTCTCCTGTTCAATATCACACTGGAAGTCCTAGCTAGTGCAGAAAGACAAAAAAAAAAAAAAAAGAAATCAAAGGTTATAGATATTGGGAAGGAAGAAATAAAATGATTTTCGTCCACAGATGACAAGGCTACCTCCATAGAAATTACCAAAGAATTGAAAGAAAAAGAAAACCAGCCACTCCTGGAACTAATAAGCAAATACAGCAAGGTCACAGGATACAAGGTTAACAGACAAAAGTCAGTTACTTTCCCACATACCAGCAACGAACAATTGGAATTTGACATTTAAAAAACAATGCTAAGTTCTAGTATTCAATAGTACAGTAGGAAGATTACAGTTCACAATAATTTATTGTATATTTCAAAATAGCTAGAAGAGAAGAATTAGAATGTTTCCACACAAAGATAAACATTTGGGGTGATAGATACCCCAATTATCCTGATTTGATCAATTCCATTGTGTACAGGTATCAAAATATCACCATGTACCCCCAAAATACGTACAACTATTATGTATCAATTTTAAAAACTTTATTTATGATAGCACATAAAATATTAAATACTTAGGTATAAATCTAACAAAATATGTAAAAGATCTATATGTAGAAAACTACGAACCTCTGATGGAAAAAAAAAAAAACAAAGAAAATCTAAATAAATGGAGAGACATTCTATGTTCATAAACTGGAAGACTTAATATTTCTAAGATGTCAATTCTTCCCAACTGATCTACAGATTCAGTGTAATTTCAATCAAAATGCCAGCAAGCTACTTTTTAGATACTGAAAAACTTACTCTAAACGTTATATGGGAAGGCAAAGACCTAGAGTAGCCAAAACAATACTGAAGAGTAAGAACAGAGTTGGAAGACTCACACTACCCAATTCCAAGACTTACTACAAAGCTACGGCAATCAGGACAGTGTGGTATTGGCAAAAGAATAAACACATAGATCAATGGGAACAGAACTGAGACCCTGAAAACAGACCCACACCAATACAGTGAAGCGATTTTTGGCAAAGAAGACAATTTCATGAAGAAAGGATAGTCTCTTTCAACAAACGGTACTAAAACAAAGGATATCTACTTGCAAAAGCAAAAAATGAACCTAGACACATCTTAATACCTTTCACAAAAATTAACTCAATGTGGATCACAGACCTAAATGTAAAACGCAAAACTACAAAGCTCCCAGAAGATAACAATACTGTTCACATAAGCGCTGTACTCCCATCGACAAAGGTGATGCCCGCAGAGGCAGGGACTAACAATGCTGACCCTGCTGTACCTGTGCACTGGATTGAATCATTCAGAAAATGGATGGCAAACGGTAAGAGCCAGGTGTTCACCATGGGAGTTTAGAGATGAGCAAAGGGGCGAGGTCAGAAAGATCCACGTGCTCACGGGTCAGAGATGCAGACAACAGTGTGAACTCATATTTAGCTTAATGCAAACACAGATGGTTACGTACAGAAATATCTATACATAAGTGTGTACGCACATGTGTGACTCCTTGCTCTGCCAGTTGAGAGGGACCAGAGCCAATGACATCTCAATAGCAAAGAGCACACCTAAGGCCCTGATCTTGGTTTCTAACACCATTCCCAATAAGAGGAACCAGGGCACCCTGGAGAAATGGTTGACTTGAGGACGAGGCAAGAAACATACGAGATAAGCTTGTAGAACCAGAACAGAAAGAAGTGCTCAAACAAAACAAAACAGCCACCATAATGATGGAGATATGTCACAAGGACACAGGAGCCAATGGAAAAAGCTCCCAATGGCCAAAGATGGAACAACTTGAACATCGAAATATAGTACTATTGGGTTATAAATGAAAATATAAAATAACTATCCATGAGTCCATTCTGATATAAATAAATGGTTTAATAAATGAATAAATGCAGGAGAAGAGACAAATCTCCCATGCAGAAGAATTCCAAATAACTTATATAAATACTACAACCTCAAGGCAGTGGAGTATAACCCCTCATTCCTTAAGTGTGGGTCACACACGGTGACTTACATGCTGAGAGCACAGTGTGGGGAGGAGGAGAGGAGAGAACCTGTGCTGTGCAGAAACCTGACACGCACACCTCAGCCAGGTGATCCGGTCAACACCAACAGTGACAGGTCACGCTCCTCGTCTGTGTCCCCGATAGGTGTGATGAGAATGGCACTTTACCTCTGGGGTCTTCCTCCCCAAAACTCACAA